GTATTTTGTACACCTGAAGCAGGTGTGAAACTTCTTCATTTTCCTTTTTTCAACGTTACCTCCAGTTGTTTCAGTACACCTAGCGGATAAGAAATAAATACAACATCTTTTTATGACCAGGTTTAAGATAAGAGTTAATCCATGGGTTTGGACATGGGTTAAGTTAAGTGTTGGGGCACCGATTAGGGCCAACGTTGGGGGTTATGATCGAAGTACCAACAAAACAACAGAAGATCGTTTAAATAATACAAACCAAACCCCACGACACTGGTAACATTTGATTTTATTACCTTGACAAGTCAGTTGTTTAAAGGCTTACAACTTGGATTAATTCTAAACACATTTTTTGTTACTAAACAAAGCGCTTAATTAAAGTGGTACTTATAAGTACCGTCAGTAGATAAAGGGTTAAAAGCTTACAACTTGTATTGTTACGAAACATTCACTAACGGGAAAATATACTAGTAATATCTAAAACACTTAAAACGATAGATCGACGCCACACGTAGTGAGTCATGTTTTACTTAACACCAGCTTCAGCCACTCAACGGAAATTTTGTGTCGTTATTTAAAGGCATGTCAGCCGTAGTGTATACGTGCAAAAACGAAAGGGGAGGTAAAAAAAAAAACAAGCGTTAAAAAGTTCCCGGTCCTTAATTTAAATTTTAAAGAAAGAAAAAAAAACCTACGAGCTGGCTAGCACAGATCAATAGCAGGATCTAGGGCCGTTACATCCTTTAACAGTGTCCATATTGTCTTAGGGTGTAATACATTTGTCCACATTGCTTTGTACTGTATTAAATTTGTCTATATTGTCTAAAGCAGTAATGAAGTACATATTGGTTGTTCATTGGAAAAGGAAACTACCCTTCTATATCCGATGGCCCATGGGGCAGATGAAGTAGAGTCCATATAACTGACCACGGCTAATGTAGGGATAGTGTGGTCAGCACAATGCTCAGCTGCCTGTACGTTTCCCGAATCGAGTTGGGTACCAATCAAGGCCGGGTGGACTCATGGATATACTACAGTCAGACGCATCAGAACTGAGTGGACTCAAAGGATGTACTACAGTCAGGTACGCATCGGAGCTGGGTGGACTTAAAGATGTACTACAGTCAGGTACCCATTACAGTTGGATGGCTCATCAAGGTGCTAAGGTCATCTACCTATTAGACAGCGTTTCTTCCAGGCATCTCTTCGGAGCCCCCCCCCCCCCCCACCCTGAAGAAAGTCTACCGCCCCCCCCCCCCCCCGAACAAAATGGAATTTATATAGAAAATAAATACTTTTACCAGTGTCCAGCCCCCCGGTAAATGTTGACCGCACCCCCCTCCCGAAAATATCAAGTGCCCCCCCCCCCCCACCCCGGAGAAAAAAGTCTGGAAGAAACACTGCCATAAGAGCTGGGTGAACTCATGGACCTACTACATATTCGAACCCCCGAAACCAATCACAAGGCTTTGATATTTAGAGAAAAAAAAACTTTACCTAGACGAGCCACTTTAATACACATGTGGTGTATCAGGACAATCAACTTCTCCCATGTCATTCACTTCTTCCCCACTTTTTATTCAGTAAGTTTGAACAAAATATCACGGAGAAAACTTAACATAGCTTTCAAGTGTTTACACATTCTTACATGTAGAATATATAGTTGTTACAAAACTTGCTTAAATTTACCGTAAGGGTACGTATATTCATAATCAGATAAGCATTAACTGACCAAACACAGTAAATTGTATCCCTAGAAAATAAAAATCAAGTGAATCATTTTCTTATCAGATTTTAGGTGCCAATCTATTAAAAAACATCGAGATAAGTTAGAACTTAAATTGTCACCTGCAACTATCTCATAACCAGCCATATAACACGTCTATGAAGAAACCCTTGACAAGCTGGGCGATATGAAATGTATCATGAACCATAATAAGCCAGGGCAATGTGAAAGTTGTAGTTAGCTCTCAAACTGGTGGCTAGCTGTACAATATGAAATAAATATTGAACTCCAGTCCCGGACTGATAGGGCTTGTTAGCTAGGGACACAACCCATCAAAGAAAGAAAACTCCACTCCAAACTCAAACAACTACCATCTTGCAGATAGTTCTTGGGTGGATAAAAGCTTTGGAATCTAATCCAGAAAAAAAAAGCCAGCTATAGGTTAAGTCAACAGACCATATGGCGAATAATATGTTGACAATCTATACTTAGTTGTGTTGGAGAAAATTCCGTTTAATATTACAAATAAGAACGGAAAAAAAAACAGGAAACACACAACTTTCTAGCTAAACCATAGGACAACTACCTCAAACCCTGGCTAGTCATTAGTAAATCTATACGAAACCCTTACCTAGCCATGTAACGGTACAGCACGAACCCTCGGCACGCTTGAACCCTCCCCCCCCCCCCCCCAATCTTCAAAGACGCCGGACGTAATCACAAGTGTTTTAATAACCGGGGAAGGGAAGTCCCCATCAAACCACTATTGATCGGCTTTAATGCAATTACAAGTTCGTCTCCTTAAATTTTTTTTCTTCAATCCTCATTTCAAAAATGGAGATGTCAACCAGATTATCTATAAGATGTTATTTTAATCAACTGTTTATTCGAGGGAGCGTTTGACAATTTTTTTTTTAAACGCTCAAGATGTATTCGTAAACAGCTTTCGGGTGCGTTATAGGGTTATAATGTATTGGCCGAGTTGTTCTAATTTACATCCGTGTGATATTTGATGCTGCGTGTGTGGTAGAGTCTGTAGCGGTGCCGTGGGCATGTGGTTGTGTGTTAGTGTGTATGTGTTTACCTTGTCTGTCCACCGTGTATGTCACACAAAACAATCAAGTCTGTCTTAAATTATTGGAATATTAGTGCCCTATATATATATATATATATATATATATATATATATATATATATATATATATATATATATTTGTCCTATATAGTTGTCCTATATATATTTATATTTATATATTTATATATATGTATATATATATGTATATATATATATATATATAAATATATATATATATATAATTGCACACAGTTCTGATCTTATCATAGTTTTACATTTCATAAATCCAAACAGTTTATCGTCCAAAACGTTGTTCTATGAAATTGTATTATATAGTACTCATCAGCTAGAAGGCTCCCACACTACATTTTAAATACTCTGCTAATTTCTTTAAAGAATAACTTAAGTCTGTGAATGAGCAAGATTGATTTAAATATCAATACCCCATTCGGATCCTTTATTTTTCCAAACTATTTTTTAAAGGAAGTCAGAAAAAAATTTCTTTAAATCCGATCTATGATGGTTAATGCACTGACTCGTGATCGATAATGTACTGACTCCTCATCGATACCGCGCTGATCAGTCATCGCCAGTGCGAGGCTGTATTGTATAATTAAACACAGTCCTAACCGTCGTTAAGTTGTGATTTTAAGTACGCCACCCTATTGGTACATGGCTGGTGATTGATCCATACAAAGACAACAAAAGCACTAGAAGAACCTTGACCCTTGACCTTAACCTCTGCTGTAGTGTCTTCGCCTTTGTGGGAGTATTGATTGCTTGAAATAACATCTTAAATGTTGAAAAAAATACAACGAAGCCAGACATTCTTTGTACCAGGTGAACACTCCAACCGCATTCAATTGTATGTCAAATAAACAGCTGACATATACCTCAAGGTAATACGGTTGGGATCACAACATCCCCCCCCCCCCCCCCCAGCGTCAATAGGGCTGATAAGTAGGTCACCAACCAGTTCTATGGGTCATGCAGGTTTTTATTGAGCCGTATAACTGGTTGGTGACCGACTTACCAGCCGTATTACCATCCCCACGGTCATTTCCTTTAGACACAATACCCCACCCAACAGCTATTTCATACACTCATGCTATACTTACTGTAATAAATACGGTTCCAGCTTACTGTAATGAATACGGTTCTAGTTTACTGTAATGAATACGGTTCTAGTTTACTGTAATAAATACGGTTCCAGCTTACTGTAATGAATACGGTTCTAGTTTACTGTAATGAATACGGTTCTATTACACCCAAACTAAAATGTTACTTCAGCAGATCACTCCTCTTTACACCCTGTCTGTTTTAGCCTACCCAGTCGAATGTGTAGAACGACGAGGTCTGTTGGACGTCCCTGAGTCCACCCAGCATTGATGGGTACCTGGACTCGAGTCTGGGAAAGTAAAACAGTGCGGCCGGAAGTGCTGATCATACTATTTCTTCATTAGCCGAGAAAAGTTAAACAGATAAACTCTACTTCATCTGCCCTCCTGACCTGATTGGTCTGGAGTAATTTGTGTTACAAGCCCAATTTACATATACGTCTAATTACTCTCACTTACCGATGATAGTCCTAGGAACTTACAAAATAATTATTGCAACTCCGATCCGAATTTCTCATACACGCTACCCCTCCCCCCCCCCCCTTACCCCCTTTCTTCAAGATATGTAGACGTAGTGATCAGTTGAGTATAAGAAATCTACTGCTAAATACAAATTTTGCTTTTATAACAACTCTTTAGACCCATGTACAAACTGTATACCGTTAATTTCCGTTTCTAGTATTTTAACACCTGATACAAATTGTATACCGTTAACTTCCTTTTCGAGCTAATTAACCCCCCGTACAAATTGTATACTGCCGCTTCTAACACTACAAATAAAACGGTATCCGATTTATCAAACTTCGCACCTGATATTTTCAATCAGATATTTCTTTGTCTCGAGTTTATTGTTATTTCTGATGATTTTATACAATTCGATTTATTAAAACAACACTAGTTAGATAATGATTGCTTTTGTCCGCGGGTGTTCTCTCAATTGGTCTTTCATGTTTTTGAACAAAGACGACCAAAAAATATCTGTAAATATTTCTCGTACAATATGTTTATAATTTAGATTTTTTTTTGGTTTTGATCTATTTCAATGTGGGTTGTATTTTGATTCCGTTATTTTATTTTTCAATGACAGATTAAAAGAATGGTAGGTGGCGTTAGTATGAACAGAGGACGCATGAAGCCATCTATAGATTCAATGTCCACAAGCCTTTTAGACGACACCCCAGAAAACAACCCGTGCTTAGATACCTACCAGGAAACACGTCTGGACCACACGGCAAAAAATGACCAATCCACATGCCCGGAGAAGGCTCCGGTCTCCTTCCCGGCTAAACCCTGTCCCACAACCAGCTCTCCCAGCGGTTCGCTACAGACCCACATCCGCGCGCTCTACACCGTCGTTTTCTGCCTTAGTGTCGTGCTGATCTCCTCCCTCGTCCTGTGCTACCTGGAGATCACCTCCCTCCACGAGGCCGTCTCAAACCAGATGACCGTGGACGATTTCGTCGACTTCAACTTCCCAGCGGGGGCCACGGACGAGAGCAGCGAGGAGCTGGGGGTGCCTTATTCTAGCGAGCTGGAGGCGGGGCTCGGGGGGTACTTCACCCCGGGCTCGGGCGCTAACCAGAGGAAGAAGAGACACGCCGGCCACGGTGAAGGGTCGGGTTCGGCCCCAGATTGGGTGTGGATGGATTCGTACGCCAGAGTACCGGTAAGCTTTTTATGTACATAAGTCTATTGTTCATGCCATCATTCAATTGTTAGAGATCTGTAGTTTCATCATTCATTCATTCATTGAATTATGAAAATCCTATGTTCATAGTTCACTCGATCTCTTAAAACTTATTTCTCTTTCATTATATATATATATATATATATATATATATATATATATATATATATATATATATATATATATACGTATAAAACATACATACGAATATATATATATATATATATATATATATATATATATATATATAATAGGTAGGGCCTATACGTATACCTATAATGACTTTTGATTAAATTGATTGCTCTGTTTGATCATTGTAAAGACACATTAGACAGCATTGTAATAAAACAACATTTCATATTTTCTATTTATAAACTGATGATGATTTCTGATCCATTATCTTTTTGAACATGATCCTTTTTTTTTCCGAAGGAGAAAATTAACTATTTTTAGTTATCGTTCTTTAAAATAATTTGTTTTTGTGTAAATATCGAACATATTTTATCTCTCAAACAACACACTTACCTACCAACCTTTAAAATAATCTTCCTACAATCATAATGGTCTTCGTAAATTCTCCAACCCACCTCTTCATACTTTAAGATCAGAAACAAATGTCGTAATCTCAAATGTTATAATAAAAAAAATCACGATCCATTCCTACATCCGAATTAAACCTACCACGCTAGCATCCCCTAGTAATTAACTGCAGCAATAATTCTGTTAGTGAATTCTTTACCTCTAGGCGGTCCGCGCGACATATAGTTACCGACGTCACGGAGAATATATTGGTTCAGCTTTCTTTCGTTTCGCATCTTTGTCTTAAGGTTATGTTCAATCATACTTTTTTTTTTCATCGATCCTCATCCCCTCCCCCCAACCGTCAACTCCCCCCCTTCCCCTATACCCAATATCTACCTTAGAAAATGTAACATCTGAGATGCCTTGAAGAAAATCTATAAATCGGAGTTGTGCTGCCACATAATAAGCTTACAGGTAGCTGTGGGTTTATTCCGTCGCTGTCTGCGTGTCCAAGTGTAGAATTGGCTCCACTACCTGTAAACATGGCGTTCACACCTGAACACACACTTCCGGTTTGGGGATTTTGTGTCCTGGGGTGAATGGTTGTGTGTGTGGGATGGGGGGGGGGGGGAGGGATAGGGAAAAGTATGAGGAAATATTGGAGGAGTCTTAAAGATAAAAGGAAGAAATAAAAATTTCACGAGTTTTAGAAGATATGAGTGTTAGGAAGGAAGATTTTTAGTGAAGATTTTAGACAAGAGGAAGATATGAGTGTTAGGGAGGAAGATTTTTAGTGAAGATTTTAGACAAGAGGAAGATATGAGTGTTAGGGAGGAAGATATGAGTGTTAGGGAGGAAGATATTAGTGTACTGTTAGTGTTTCATTTCTTTCATCTCTTTCATTGATTATATTTTATGTCTAATAAAAATTAATTCATGCAATTGACAAAAACAACGTAAGGCTTTGTTTATAGTTTTGCTCTGTTTTCCGACCGGATAAATTATATAATGTTTGTGGAAAATAGTGGTAACTGTATCGAGCTTTTTAAAAAAAAATATCTTTACTCCCCCCCCCCCCCCCACTCCTTTGCCGTAGGCGTCATCTATTAAAACCGTACAAAGTTATTCTCGACCCGCTCAAACATCAGATTTATTTGTAAGAGTTACAACCCCTGCACATGTTACTTCATATTTCTTTAACGCCCTACCCCATCTAGTACGTAGTGTATTGAAGTTCCCCTCCCCCACTCCCAAACCTACCACCACGTAGCATGTCACAACAATCAAACAGCCGCCCCCCCTACCCCACAACCCCTTCCTTCTCATTAGACCGAGCGACGCCCATTATACCTTTATTAAACCACGGTTTTTAAATTTTAGACACAAAATATCCAAACATAGAAAAGATGATGTTTTGCGGGTAGTGGCGTAGCGACGGGGGGGGGTGCATATGTCCCCGAGTGCCGACCCTAGGGGCGGTAATGTTAGCTGCTATTTTGAATTATAAATATAAAAAATATTTGGGGGGGGTGGGCGCCAAATTGAAAGTTTGTCCCCCGGGCGCCGGGAGGGTTCGCTACGCCTCTGGGGTACCGTGTGGGTTTAAACTTTATTAAAATATATGTATTTGTATTGGTGTATTTGTTAGTTTTTTTTTTTCAAAATAAAATAGGGCGCCACCATAGACCATTAAAATTGTGATAGAGTATACAATTTCAGCAATTTCGATGTTCGGCAGTGTGTTGAGAAATGCAGTCAAATGACACTGCATCATTATTTGTGTGCTGATATTTTAAAATTCCGTTGTTCCTTTTTTCTTTAGGAATTTAGCATTCATGATGATTAGGAAATGAGCTTCATTAAGATCTGAAACTGATAAGGAATTTATTTTTTAGACATAAAAATGACAAGACAGACGAAATAGAGAAATAAAGAAAAATTCAGATCAAATTATAAAGTGTGAAAAAAAAGTATGAATTTAAAGTTTCAGCTGATGAAAGCCAAGAAGTATAGACACTGTAAGGATGGGATTCGGCAGGGGAGAACACTCGCATTTACTAGGTTGCTTTGCATAACCTGTGTATAACCAGAGATTCTTCCCCCAAAGAAAGTCTACAGCCCCCCCCCCCCCCCCCCCCCCCACGAACGAGATGGAATTTATATAGTAAACATATACTTTTACTAGTGTCGCCCCCCCCCCCCCCTCCGGAAAATGTAGACCGCCCGCTCGAAAATATCAAGTGCCTCCCCCCGGAGAAAAAAGTCTGGAAGAAACACTGTGTATAACTAACATGCAACTAATTAGTTTTGTAGAACGATCTACCAAAATCGTAGTAAACTGAGTTCAATATAATACAATGCAGGTGTGTCAGTAAGTTTTTAAACCAGAAAGTTATTCCATCCATAACATGTAGTTGAAAAAGGATATGCTGTGTTTTTATTAAGGGTTGTATTTTTTTTTTAAAATTCAGTATTTTATTTCTAGACACGAATAGTTTACTTAAGGAATTCAACGAATTAATAAAAAGAAAAAAAATGTAATTGAATTTCCAGCCAACCTGAAAATTAATTGGACCGGTGGTTGTGGCAGGATCAAAGTTATTTTAGCCGAATTTTAAAAATATGTCACTGGCGGTTCATGTGTTTATAACTGAAATTTTTTCATTCTTTGTTGTATATATATATATATAAAAAAAAAAAAAATATATATATATATATATATATATATATATATATATATATATATATATATATATATATATATATATATATATATATATATATATATATATATATATATAATATATATATATATATATATATATATATATATATATATATATATATATATATATATATATATATATATATATATATATATATATATATATATATATATATATGTAAAATATGTGAGTGTATGTGAGTGTATCCTCCACAACCAATTATTCCAAACCGAGTTTTTAATTTCTACGGAGAAGATAATGTTATATATATATATATATATATATATATATATATATATATATATATATATATATATATATATTCAATGTACCAACTTAGATGACCTAATGTTAAATAGTCTGGAAAACAGACTGTTATAGAATGACCTGGTCTAAGCCTAGACACCAAATAGAGTAGACCTGTATAAATCACGTACATGATGATACAATATCGTATGTAGGTCCACTAATTATTTTTTTCATATCTGGTCACTTATATTGTTACGATAAGGGATATGTTCTCGTATACTTACGGATAGTGACAGGAATAGGATTTGAGTTTGGGATAATGTCAGAGTTAGGATGAAGGTTAGAGTGACTTTAGCAGAATATAAATTCTGCATCGAAAACACCTCGCTGTCTAAATCAAGACACTGGATATAACAATTTTAAAATATGACTTGCCTACACCATTACCTTAAGTCAGTCATACTTTTGTGTTTTGGCCATATGCTGAAAATAACTAAAACAACTTTAAGAAACGTTAAATTTGACGGTTTTTATTGCACCCTAGACTATTAAAAGCAGTGTTTGCTAAACTAGATTAAAAAAATTTCTTAAACGACCGACGCCTCTCTTCACTTCGCCTGTCAAACATTTCTCGCTTGTTATTTTATTGAGTAATTTTTTATTTCAATTTTTTTGGCTAATTTGATATAAAATTGATTAAAAATTAATTAGCATTTCGTGCGCTGATATCGGAAATACACCCATATACAAAATTAAAAAGAAACTGCCCTAATATAAACGGATGAAATAGAGTTACAAAACGTAAACAACAAACACACAGACTTCATGACCTAAAGAAAAGCTCGTCAAAATTCACCTAGTTTGAAGTTATCTCAGTAACATAGACAAACAGTCTGTAAACAGTTTTGTTTTGTTTAGAACCTGGAACTCGCGACCGACCGACGCAGTAGAAAACACACGAAGAACCGATAGTGAAAGCCTACACTAGCTAATCGTGATGGGATTGTTCGCTTGCTTTGTCCTGGTACATTGACTTGGAAATGGGATCACCGCTTATCTCCCTTGCTGTAATGTTCAAACTGACAAGATGACTAAAAAAAATATAGGCGAGCTACAGTATTAGTACTAACTAGGGAAGCAAAAAAATATTAGGCTGAGATTAAAATATATGCATTCTTCTGTAATACCATAATGTGTGTTCTTTCAACAGATGTTTTTTTCTTTCCCAATTACAAAGTCCTAATTCATTATGTGATAAAACCTTAAAGGAGAAGAGAGATTCAGACAGAGGTATAGAAGGAGAAATGAAGAGAAAGAATGAGAGAAAAAGAGAACGAAAGAGGCAACGAGAGAGACACACTGAGAGTGGGAGTGGGTGGATCTATTGCTATTTAAGTGTTTTGATAATACCCCCCCCCCCCCCCCGCCACCGTGATAGATTCCCTATACAGCACGCATTACTAGCATCTTTCTATAAAACGT